TTTTTTACGGCGATAGATATTCCCTAAAAATGACTTCAAGTCGACTGTTGTATCGACAATGATAATAGCAATCATTCATCGCTATCGACAAAAAACGACAACTCAAATACCATTATTGTCGCCTCAACTTCATTTTGCGACGACGACAACCGTAATAGGGCCGAATATCTGGGCAGTGTTCCGTGACTTAATATCAAAAGCAAAATCTTCCAAAATGGATTTGGACATAAGAGGGCTTATAACATATTGTAGTGTTGAAGGGTATCATATGGTCAGCCCCGCACGACTATAGTCTTTGCTTATTTGTTATGATTTCACTTTACTTACTTATCCTCTACTTTTTGTCTTTTTAATCAATCCAAAAATGAAAACATCTACTTTTTTTGTTTTTAAATTTTTATACAACATTTACTTTATTTACATTCTTAGAAAATAATTCATTAAATAATAATAATATTTTACATTGGCTTTTTAAATCATTCAGTTTTGTTTTGAACAGAAAAGCAGTTTTATAATTTATACAATTGAAATTGTTTTTCGTTTTTGGAAAAAAGCACAACACTTTGAATAATTGTATTTAAATTGAAAACCATTTTAATTGCCTTTGGAATAACGAATTTGCGAATGAATAGTTTTTTTTTATTTTGGAAATTTTATTATTTTTTATCGTTAGATTCATTTTGGTTGTTATAAATGCTTATAAATTCCTGTACAATATTTTAAATCTGCTTAGATATTTCATTTTTTTCTTTTGTATTTATATCATATGTATGTATGTACAAATATTCATTTATTTTACCACAGACATTTAAACAACAGCACTTACAATCGTTTCATTGGGAATAGAAAGGGGAATATTGTTTACAACGACAATGTATTCAACGAATATCGGAAAAAAGAAAAACACATCAATTACAGCTTAAAAGGCATTTTCTTCGAACGAAAAGACAATATAAACAATACGAGGCAAAAAACAATAACAGCCACAACAAAATATTTAATTAATTACAAAAAAAAAAAAAAAAATGAAATAAAATAATAATTTTGTAAATGTATTTTTAATTGAAAATAAATGTTTATTATTTATTGATTTATTTATTTGCAAGTCATTCAGTGAATTTCCGTTGCGAAAAAATGTATTTTGTTTTCGAAAATTTTAATTAAATATTGGATTTAAATAATATTTGAAATTTATATTTATTTATAAGAAAAATATTATTTTTTATTTTATTACAACAAAATATTAAATATGTATAGGAAAAATTATAATTTTGGAATTTTTTCAATTTACAAGATTCGTACATTTTATCTGCATGACTAGAATATACTGAGGTTCGTTTTGTTTATATATTGAAGGAGGTAAGTATATAAGGCACAAGATGAAGTTAAGGGAACTTGAGTTGGTCTTCATGTTGAATTGATTGAAAACCCCCTTTCCGATTGCCAATTGCGTACGAATCTACCAACGCTTATTTTTTATCACGGCATTTTTATACCCTCCACCATATAGAAGGTATATTAAGTTCGTCATTTAGTTTGTAACCCCTAGAATTTGTAACCCCACAAAGTATATATATTTTTGATCATCATAAAATTCTATGTCGATTTAGCGATGTCCATCCGTCTGTTGAAGTCACTCTAGCTTCCGAATGAATTGAAGTAGATTGATAAAATTCTACTCAAATGTATATTATGTCCGCAGGACTTTTGGTATTGAAAATGGTTCTACGTTTTGGTATAGCCAGCATATAACCGTACCTCCAGATATTTGGTATTTTGATGATTTTAGCGACAATATTCATAGGAATTGTTTCAAATGTGGTATTTTAAGAACCTAAAACAGAAAATTGTCTGTGCAGGTCCACGTCTTCGTATAGCCCCCATATAACGACCATTATTTGCGTACTTACAAAAATCTAAACCAATTACTATTTTCTTGTGGAAATCGCGAACCAAGAGCCAATACCGCTGGAACACAGGTCCAAGATCTTCAAGACACCTCAAGCGGTATCGTTATAGGGGGATTTATATTGGACGAAAACGCGAACAAACTACTATATTTTAGTTAATTTCACTGAAAGTATGGTAAAGACCTTCGAAATACCTTAAGTAAGACGGTGCATTTAGCTATACGTAATATAATAATAATATTTGCATCAGTGCTAGGTCAGGTACTAAAATTGACAATGTCGGTCCACTCCACCAACTTGGCGTGTTGCCCATTGAAAATCTTGGCAAATTTTGCCTATTTGTGCTTGAATATCTGGCCTATTGGTCCTTGAAAAACTTGTTCTGTTCGTCCTTCAAAAAATTTGAAATTTTAAAGTGTTGCTCCTGGAAGAACTTGTGCTTGAATACCTGGACCTTTAAAAATGTGGCTATTTGTCCACGACAAATGTTACGTGTTGGTCCTTGAAAAAATTGTGAAAAATATGTTTGAAATCCACGTGGGTCCTTGAAAATTTAATATGCTGGCCCTTGAAAAACATGACAAATTTGACCCATTTGTCCTTGAAAAAAGTCACGTTTGGTCCTTTAAAAATTGCAATTTTAGCCCATATTTCTATCAACACAATATGGTAGAATTGGACCATTTCCTCTGGTACCTCCCCACAAAGGGTTAAATTTTTTGAATTCCATGAAGCTCCTAAAACGCGAAATTAACATCGGATTCCAGACCAGATTTGGTACATCTCGATATTTCCATCAACACAAGATCTATTATAAAGATGTTAGAGATTGGACCACTCCTTCTGGTATCACCCTCACAAAGGGTCAAAATTTTGAATAAACAAAACGATCATAAAATTCGAAACAAAAACATCCGTTTCTCTTCAAATTTTACACACCCCATTATTTCTTATAACACAAGATCTGCTGTGAAGATGATATATATCGGTCCATTTCCTCTGGTACCTCCCCTACAAAGGGTCAAAATATTTATATCATATTTAGGTCCGATACGAAATGGTAAATATTGGCCCATTCCTTCGGAACCTACTCCATAGAGGGTCAACAATTTGAATAATCATAACAGAAGTCAGAATATATTTAAATAATCGAACGTTGGATGAGTGTATACATCTGTCGGCAAAACCGATTGATTCTTTTTAACTTTTTAACTCGGACATATACCAATGTCCGATACGCAGGTGCAACCCAATTTTAACTGGGCAACACAAAATATAAAATATATTATATCACATCACATAAATACATAATAAGAACATCCTACCACACCATATTATGCTCATTGTGATGACAGAAATCCTTCCAGTCATTTTGCCTACACAGTTTATAAAAATAATCATTGCAGGTGAACCGTTATCGCAACAACAGACCAGTGTCCACTCATCACGTCCATCGGCGGTATGTGATGTTGTTGTGATAACCAAATTTTTGTAAACAAGTTCCCGTTACTTCACAGCGGCCAAGTGGTGGAGCCGGGTATAAAAGGACCGTCGATGGCAGAATCGAGACAGTAAGTGTCAGACCTTGAACGTGACAACACCAGCTTCGGTAAGTGACAATCGCACTTAGAGTACTTTTCTCTAATCTAATCCTTGAGTCCAGGTGGTATCCTTGAATATCCTTGTAGCCCTAGTATACTAGATCCGTGTAGTCTGCTGAAGTACTTATTAAGGTCTCTGAAACCCGTATCCTTGAAAATCCTGAAGTGATGGAATACTTATTAAGGTCTCTTGGAACCATATACTGGAATACCCCATAGTGCTTGAGTACTTATTAAGGTCTCTTGCAACAGTATTCTTGAATATCCTGTAGTGCTTTAGTATTTATTAAGGTCTTTTGCAACCGTATCCTTGAATATCCTGTAGTGCTTGAGTACTTATTAAGGTCTCTGCAATCATATCCTACAGTGCTTGAGACCTTAATAAGTAGGACTCTTGCAACCGAATCCTTGTATATCCTGTAGCCTTCTTGAGAACTTATTAAGGTCTCTTGCAACCGTATCCTAGATCCTTGTAGGTCTGGAGTACTTATTAAGGTCTCTTAACGCCTTATCCTTAAATATCATGTAGTACTTGAGTACTTATTTAGGTCTCTTGCAGCCATATCCTTAAATATCCTGTAGTGCTTGAGTACTAATTAAGGTCTTTTGCAACCGTATCCTTGAACATCCTGTAGTGCTGGAGTTTTTATTAAGTTCTCTTGCAACCGTATCCTAGATCCTTGTAGTGCTTGAATACTTATTAAAGTCCCCTGCAACCGTATCCTTTAATATCATGTAGAGCTTGAATACTTATTAAGGTCTTTTGCTGCTTGCTGCTGCTTGAGTACTTATCCAGGTCTCTCGCACTGAATCCATCTCGAATCCTGAACACCCAAATTCTGTGTCCTTGTCCCGTTTCTCGAGTACTTATCCAGGTCTCGAGTTGAAGAACCACTTCCAATCCCGGACCGAAGACGATTAGGATAATTTTCGTCGTTTCGGTTGGAGGATCAGGCTCTCTGCAACAGAAAGCTTATTAAGGGGCATGTGGTGAGTTCAAAATTATTTACTGCCCTCCTTCTGACAGAAACTGTGAGCGGAATATCATTTCTGGCTGGCTATCATTAATTTGAGTGGCCGGTAACACATTGACAAAGGAGGTTCGGGCTCGCAGTTCAAATCTAGAGTAGTAACCCTAGAGTTGTAACCCGAACATCGTGATCCTTGATGACCAGACTTCCCAAATATCTTCAAATCGCCTTCAATCCGAAGATCATCATCGTAATGCCTGGACACCTAACGTTCATACATCATTGTTCCGAATCGTTAAGAAACCGAAAACCGACCGTCGTAAATATCTGATTAGTAATAGCACTTAAACAGATATAAATTGAATTCCCGAGTCGATGCCAACATACCTATATTTAGCCCCGAGTAGATTTTATGTTAGTATTTAAGTCCATAAAATAGCAGATTTTTAGCCCCAGGAAAGAAAGAATTCTACTTTTTCATTTTAAAAGTTTTAGATGGTCCTTATGGAGTCCCTGGCATATTTTTGTAGGTTTTGAAAAACAACTTTATCTTGTGCCTTATATTCCCTCGTTCTTCATATTTGTTATTTTACCACAGAAGCATTTTACTTACAAAAACAAGAAGAAGTGTATCAACTAAAACTTAACAACTAATCGAATCTCTCTCCTTTCACTTAAAGATATTCCATGGGAGTGAAGCGCGTCGAGCGATACAAAATGACACTGGAGCAACGCGCACAATGCTGCTGCTATCATACCTCCGACATGGCGTTGTGATGGATCGAATTCGATTTGGGTCTCTCGCAGATGACCACCCTGGTGGTGCCCTTGTTGGAGCGCCTCGAAACCGTCAACGAGGTGGTTAGGGTGCGCATTGAATCACAGCTATTATGCAAACGCCTACCAACCGTGTTGCAACGATTCGTTGTGGAGTTGTGGCGATATGACTTACAACAGCAGGTGAACCATTTGAAGGGAGGATAACGGCTGTAAGGAGAGCGCGAGAAAAAGATAAGAAGAATATTAAATGGCGCATTTACGCTTTTTATTGCCAAAATGCTGTCGTTTTTTTGTGGTGGCAACCCATCTTACCTTAATGTCCTAAACACCGTCGACGAGAAGAGACAATAAATCAGGGGATTTGCTGCCGAATTGAGCGGTGCCAAACTCTGTATGAATGTGGCTATGGCAATGTTCGTCTGTGTCTGTGGGATGTGGCCAAAGACTTGCAGCAAATCGAAGATAATGTACGGCGACCAGCAAACAATGAAAACGATGACAATGACGAATGTCATTTTAACTGTTTTCACCTTGGCCCGAGGTATAATGCCACGGCTGCTGGCCCTCCTCGTCGTTGTATTGCTGCCAAAGCCAGCCCTTTCGGCAGGCACAAAAATCGAACCCTTGGCCCATATCGTCTTGACGATAATGGCATAGCAGGCCGAAATAATGAGGGCGGGAAAGGCAAAAAGGGTAGCCGACACCAGGCCCATGTAGATTTGCCACGACAGCGGTGAGCCCAATTCAATCCAACATTGAGTTTGTCCTTGGACGTTTTTCTCTTCGTACAGCATCAGAATGGGCAGGGAGAATAAGGCAGAGACAATCCAGGCACCGGCCACCAGATGGCGGGCTCGTTTCCCTGTTGGTTCAGAGAGAGGGAGGGAGAGAGGGAGATAATGATGAGAATATTACACTAAATTTTGGGAGGAACTTATTTGCTTTCTATAAAGTTGGAAATCCTAGGCTTGGTAGAGAACGTAGCATTCGTACTTACATGATTTGGAAAAATTCATTGGATGCGTAATGGCATCATACCTGTCGATGCTCATGGCCACCAGGACATATGTCGACGAATACGTCACACACACCTGAGAGAACCGTATTATTTTACAGGCTATATTTCCGGCTCGCCAGGATATCGTTATGCGCCATATAATATCGGTCAGGACATTCAGCAGGCCCACACATAAATCTGAAATAATAAAAAAGAAATTTCGAAATGAAGTAAAATGTCATCTTGGTCCTTGGAAAAATCCAATTTCGTCATTGAAAAAATGTGTTTCAAAAATCTACTTTTAATCCTTAAAAAATCCAATTTTAGTCCTTGAAAAATCCTCTTTTAGTCCTTGAAAAAAAATATTTTAAAAATCCACGTTTAGTCCTTGATAAATCCTCTTTTGGTCCTTGAAAAAAAATATATTTTAAAAATCCACGTTTAGTCTTTGAGAAATCCTCTTTTGGTCCTTAAAAAAATACATTTCAAAAATCCACGTTTAGTCCATGAAAAACCCTCTTTTGGTCCTTAAAAAAATATATATTTTAAAAATCCACGTTAAGACCTTGAAAAATCCTCTTTTGGTCCTTGAAAAAATTGTTTAAAAAATCCACGCTTATTGTCCTGTTGGTCCTTGAAAAAAATTGTTTAAAAAATCCACGCTTATTGTCCTGTTGGTCCTTGAAAAAAATTGTTTAAAAAATCCACGCTTATTGTCCTGTTGGTCCTTGAAAAAAATTGTTTAAAAAATCCACGCTTATTGTCCTGTTGGTCCTTGAAAAAAATTGTTTAAAAAATCCACGCTTATTGTCCTGTTGGTCCTTGAAAAAATATGTTTAAAAAATCCACGCTTATTGTCCTGTTGGTCCTTGAAAATATATGTTTAAAAAATCCAAGCTTGTTGTCCTATTGGTCCTTTAGAAAATATGTTTAAAAAATCCACGCTTATTGTCCTGTTGGTCCTTTAGAAAATATGTTTAAAAAATCCACGCTTATTGTCCTGTTGGTCCTTTAGAAAATATGTTTAAAAAATCCACGCTTATTGTCCTGTTGGTCCTTTAGAAAATATGTTTAAAAAATCCACGCTTATTGTCCTGTTGGTCCTTTAGAAAATATGTTTAAAAAATCCACGCTTATTGTCCTGTTGGTCCTTTAGAAAATATGTTTAAAAAATCCACGCTTATTGTCCTGTTGGTCCTTTAGAAAATATGTTTAAAAAATCCACGCTTATTGTCCTGTTGGTCCTTTAGAAAATATGTTTAAAAAATCCACGCTTATTGTCCTGTTGGTCCTTTAGAAAATATGTTTAAAAAATCCACGCTTATTGTCCTGTTGGTCCTTTAGAAAATATGTTTAAAAAATCCACGCTTATTGTCCTGTTGGTCCTTTAGAAAATATGTTTAAAAAATCCACGCTTATTGTCCTGTTGGTCCTTTAGAAAATATGTTTAAAAAATCCACGCTTATTGTCCTGTTGGTCCTTTAGAAAATATGTTTAAAAAATCCACGCTTATTGTCCTGTTGGTCCTTTAGAAAATATGTTTAAAAAATCCACGCTTATTGTCCTGTTGGTCCTTTAGAAAATATGTTTAAAAAATCCACGCTTATTGTCCTGTTGGTCCTTTAGAAAATATGTTTAAAAAATCCACGCTTATTGTCCTGTTGGTCCTTTAGAAATATGTTTAAAAAATCCACGCTTATTGTCCTGTTGGTCCTTTAGAAAATATGTTTAAAAATCCACGCTTATTGTCCTGTTGGTCCTTTAGAAAATATGTTTAAAAAATCCACGCTTATTGTCCTGTTGGTCCTTTAGAAAATATGTTTAAAAAATCCACGCTTATTGTCCTGTTGGTCCTTGAAAACATATGTTTAAAAATCCACGCTTATTGTCCTGTTGGTCCTTTAGAAAATATGTTTAAAAAATCCACGCTTATTGTCCTGTTTGTCCTTTAGAAAATATGTTTAAAAAATCCACGCTTATTGTCCTGTTGGTCCTTTAGAAAATATGTTTAAAAAATCCACGCTTATTGTCCTGTTGGTCCTTTAGAAAATATGTTTAAAAAATCCACGCTTATTGTCCTGTTGGTCCTTTAGAAAATATGTTTAAAAAATCCACGCTTATTGTCCTCTTGGTCCTTGAAAAAATATGTTTAAAAAATTCACGTTTATTGTCCTGTTGGTCCTTGAAAAAATATGTTTAAAAAATCCACGCTTATTGTCCTGTTGGTCCTTGAAAAAATATGTTTAAAAAATCCACGCTTATTGTCCTGTTGGTCCTTGAAAAAATATGTTTAAAAAATCCACGCTTATTGTCCTGTTGGTCCTTGAAAAAATATGTTTAAAAAATCCACGCTTATTGTCCTTTTGGTCCTTGAAAAAATATGTTTAAAAAATCCACGCTTATTGTCCTGTTGGTCCTTGAAAAAATATGTTTAAAAAATCCACGCTTATTGTCCTGTTGGTCCTTGAAAAAATATGTTTAAAAAATCCACGCTTATTGTCCTGTTGGTCCTTGAAAAAATATGTTTAAAAGATCCACGCTTATTGTCCTGGTGGTCCTTGAAAAAAAATGTTTAAAAAATCCACGCTTATTGTCCTGTTGGTCCTTGAAAAAATATGTTTAAAAACTCTACGCTTATTGTCCTGTTGGTCCTTGAAAAAATATGTTTAAAAAATCCCCGCTTATTGTCCTGTTGGTCCATAAAAAAATATGTTTAAAAAATCCACGCTTATTGTCCTGTTGGTCCTTGAAAAAATATTTCCAAAAAATCCACGCTTATTGCCCTGTTGGTCCTTGAAAAAATATGTTTACAAAATCGACGCTTATTGTCCTGTTGGTCCTTGAAAAAAATGTTTAAAAAATCCACGCTTATTGTCCTGTTAGTCCTTGAAAAAATATGTTTAAAAAATCTACGCTTATTGTCCTGTTGGTCCTTGCAAAAAATATGTTTAAAAAAATCCTCATTTGGTCCTGGAGAAAATATATATGAATAATCCACGTTAAAGGATCCTATCGTCCTTAGAAAAATCTATTTCGAATTTTCAATATATTTCCCTTAAATCCATTTTCCTAACATTAAAGTCACCTACATATCGAATAGAAAAAAAAGGAGAAAAAAACACATTTTATCGTTCAACTTGACTTACCTGCCAGCGCCAATTGTTTTATAAAATAATTCATGCGTGACTTGCGATTTTTATTCATGAACATGACAAACAATACCGCCGAGTTGCCCAGGACAATGATGGTGAATAGAATCCATAGAACGGCAAATTGTTCTGTCTGCAACGAAAGAAAGAAAAAACAAAAGAAAATGTTAGAAGTAGAAGAAAAGCAAATCAGAAGTGAAACCCAAGAAACAATGGCAAAAATTGCTCAACTGTAAGGAAAACAAAAAACAACAGCAACAACGACAAAGAAGTTGTAGAACAGAAAAAAAGACAAAGCGTTTAGTAGAGCTGGAACATTATCCAGACACAAACAATTCGTTGGAAAATTAGTTCATTTGAATTGTAATTCAATGCGAAATACATATTTCGCTCATAGGCCATGTTATTATTTGGTAATGAAGTTAATTACAGAGTCATTGTAACATATGCCGAGCCTCCACTCTCTCTCGCTCTCTCTAATGAGGTTGGTAGTCATGGCTATTGGTTTGGTAGCTGGGAGATGGCATAATGAATGGCATGGTTTGAAGTGAGTGGTGGTTAAATAACCTGTTTAGACAGTAGATTCTAAAAATTAAAAATGATAGTCTGATGAATGGCCAAGAAGCTTTGATGAAAAACTCAGCCGCATATTTTAGAATTCAATAAAATCCGTCCTTTTTATTTTGATGGTCATCGGGTAATATTTAGTGGGTGAAATAGGCCACAACATTCGTGTTAAATAAAAGTCAAATTTTCCATTAAACCGCGAATATTTTTAATCTCGGCGAAATCACAAATAGACGAACAGGTCAATTGTGACCGTTACGTAGATGTCGATAGTACATATATCGGTTATATATAGCGAAATATATACAATGTGTATATACAAAGGAAGGGGATTTTAGTTAGAATGCTTATATCTCAAGAATGGCTGGACCGATTTTGACAAATTTTGTCCATTCAGAATGCACTCTTTACATAAAAGTATAAAATCTAAAAAAATCCCAGAAAAATATTCCAATAATGATGTTAATAAAGATCTTGTAATATTTCTGACATTTTTTTAATTTTTTTCATATTTTTTATCGCATGCGATTTTTTCAATTTGACTTATAATATTGAAGTGTATATTTTGTAAAACTTTTTCACCTTACAACACAGGTTGGAGATATTATATAAGTATTGCAAATATCGTCCAATCCTCACGTAAATTTTCACAAGGGTAGGGTTGGGCTCAGAAGGTCTAGGTATTTTGTTTTCAAAGATGTCCGCAATATATTTAGGGGTTAAAATGGACCAACAACTAGAAATTTTCCTAATTTTGCAGCCGTTGTAAAGGTCACAAATAGAAACCAAAGGACACGAAATCTCGCATAAAGTTTGAGTTTAGGACAGCGGGTACAATGGACCACTAATTTTGTGTGAAGAAATACCGGCATTACTTACAGGCGATATCCGAAATACACAAAAGGCGAACTTCTGGCTTTTTTATGCTGATTTCGTTGACGAATTTAGCCAAATATCGTAGACAAGCAAATCATATAGATGAGTCTAAATTTGAAGGTACGGAAGGGCTTCTTACTTTTGGAGATGATTGCAAAATATTTAGGGGTTCAAATTAACCAAAAACAGAAATGTTTTTCCGATCACACAATTGAAGCTAATCGACACGCCTGTGAAAAGACTTAAGGACAGGGAAGAATTCTAACATTTTGGATGACCTTTGGATTACATTTAGCTGTAAAATCGACTACAACAACTAACAGCAAGACGGAGTTCAAAAATATTGGGCAAATGACGTGGGACATTCCAAATCGTAATTTCAAAAATTTCCTAATTTCAAAAGCGAATTCTTCCAATATGGATTTGAACATAAGGGGGCTTCTAACATATTGTAGTGTTGTAGGGTAAAACATAGTCGGCCTCGCACGACTATAGCTTACTTGTTGTATTTAGAATTCGTATTGGGTACTACAGCTTATGACAATAAAATGTCTATGCAGGTTCAGGTCTTTGTATAGCCCCCACCTATCGGCACCTCCCTATATTCTGTATTTTGATTTTGGCTATAATATTCACTAAAATTGTTTCTAAATTTCGTATTTGAAATTCCAAATAGGTACTACAACCTGTGACAGAAAATTGTCTATGCAGGTGGTGGGTATTTCTAGTTCGGCTTGGGTGAACTTATTGCTTTTTTACTTGTTGTTTATACTTTTGGACGATAAAATTTTAGAAATATAAGAAACGTTTTGCGGTTTGCCATAAGTTAATCTATTTTTGTTATATACGTATGCTATAATTGTGGTATAAGTATCAAGTGAAAAAGCAGCTAAGATCGTCAACCATTTGAAAAGAACTTGAAAACTTTTAAAAAATTGCGAAAAATGCCATTATACCTTTATGCGGAGGCTGAAGTGCCCATTAAAATATTCAAATACGAAATCTGAAACAATTCTGGTGAATAATTTTGCTAAAATCATCAAGATACCAAATATCGGGAGGTAGCGTTATATGGGTGCTATACGAAGACGTAGACCTGCATACGAATTTATTAGGCATAGGTTCTAGTACCCACTACAAATTTCGAATACGAAATTTGAAATAATTCGGGGGAATAATATAGCTAAAATCATCAAAATACCGAGTACTAGGAGCTACGAAAACGTGTACCGACATGGCTATTTTACCTACTGGCAAAACACATATGTGTGCGAAATTTTAGCCTTCTTTGACAATCCATTCGAAAGATAAATCGTCTTAGAATGTTATGGTGACTCAGAATATATATACTTTTTAGAGTCTATCACGAATATTTCGAGGAGTTACAAACGGAATGACAAAGCTCATATACCCTTCATAGAACGGTGAAGAGTATAAAAATGTTGGAAGTGCTTAAATATTTGCTGTAAAATTTCTAACTAAAATTTTGTTAAAAAGTCACTTTTCTATAGATTTGATATCTGATAAAGGTATTTTATACATCAAACCCTTTCTTAGGGATTTCTAACGACTTAAAAACTACTAATCCTATTAATGCGGTTTTTTTCGACAAATTAAACCTCCAACGTCCTTTCCTTAACAATCAGCTCTATATTTTTTGTGCAACAACACTCTATTTAAATCCCAAATGCCTAAAGGAAGTTCAGGCATTTTGTTCTCTCCAATTTAGTACACATAATGAAATTGACACAAAATGTCGCACCCCCAATTACCAAACTTTAAAGATGTTGGTCATTTTTGTTGCTTAACAACAATAACAAAAAAAAACCGGCTTTAAAGCCTACCCTAAAAAATCCTGGCTAAACAAAAACAAAAAGGTCAGGTGAAAATGTCATTTAGGGTTCGTTAAAATTGACTTGCCAACGATAATTTGACAATCCGAAAAGAAGACGAATGCCGAAAACCAGTCACGTTTGCAAAAAGCTTTCTCTCCTAATGAGAAAAACACTACGTCTAAATGCGAAGATAGGCCTAACAATGGCCTTGTCACAGATTGTCCTTCTGCCAAAAAAAAAAAAAAAAATATTTAATTTGGTTTTGGTCCCTTTTTGAGTTTGCCAAACGGACAGATGAAGTGCGTGTGGCTTTGCGTGTTTGTGTGTGCGTGCGTTTGAATGTTTGCTGTTAACAAATAAATTTAGTTTCCTTAACTCGCACACTAACACACACTCACGTACTTTGAGTTTTCTCAATTTGTCTTAACTTTTTTTAAATTCAATCAAAGGTCAAAGCAATTTTCTGGCAAACGAGGCAAGTCAATGGGTGGGGAAAAGAAGAGGGGGGACTTCATTCCAGTGGATAGTTTCATTTTTCACCATTTGTATGCATTCGGTGTAGGTAGTCATTAGCAATAAATAGTTATTGAGTCTTTTCAGGTTTTGAACTACCTTTAGGCAGAGGATGGACTTTATTGGAGAGATTCATAGTTGCATATTTAACATACCAGTAAGGAAAGACAAATGTCGGGAAATTCGAAATCGGATGAATATTAAATATCGGAAACTTCAGATTTTAATACCTTCAGCCATATGGCTACAGAGGGTATGTATTATTTGATATGACAAAAATGTGCCTAAGCGAAATAAGGGTTTTAGACAATAGGTCTGGTCACTTTGGACCAAATCCGTGTTAGCACATTTGGAGTTAATCTAGAGGTGTCCGTTCGTCCGCCTGTCTGTCTGGATGGCTCGTGCGCACGGTAACTCTCAAAGGCAGTATCCAATTTGGTTCACACTTGATAATATAATATTATTATCAAACTTAGATCAGGTGCGAAAATGGACACTATCTGTCCTCTCTATCAAGTACCTCCCCCAAAAAAGGGTCAAAATTTTGAATGTCCACAAAACGCGAAATTAATATCGGATTCCATTCATTCTTGGCACATATCATTATTTCTATCAACACAGCATCTTTTATAAAGATCGGATCATTCCTTTTGATACCTCCCTCACAAAGGATCAACATTTTCAGTAACCAAAACGATCCTAAATTCCGAAATAAGCACCCAGTTTTCTTCATATTTCAAACAAGATCTGCTATGATGATAGGATAATTTGGTCCAATCTTTTTAATACCTCCGCCACAAAAATTCTAAATTTTCAAAGAAAAAAATATTTTACTGCACAGAAAGAGAAAGGATAATCCAAGTTTGCTCCAACTTTGAAAATTCTAATAATTGAATCAGTGCTAGGTGCAGAAACTGTCCACTCAAATTACACACATCCGATATTTTTATATACCCAAGATCTGGTATGAAGATGGGATATATCGATTCACTGCTTCTGGTTCCTCCCCCATATCTATGAAACTTAAAAATGTGAAATTAACATCCGATTCCATTCAAACTTGGCATATTTCAATTTTTTCATCAACACTAGATATGATATAAAGATAGTAGAGATTGGTCCACCCTTTCCGGCACCTCCCCCACCAAGGGTCAAAATTTTGAATATCTATGAAGAATAGAACGCGAAATTAACATCTGATTCCTTTCAGACTGGGTACATCTCATTATATCCATCAACGCAAGATTTGTTGTAAAGATGGTAGAGATCGGACCATTCCTTCTTGTACCTCCCCCCCAAAGCGTTATTGTTTTGAATAACCAATACGATCCTAAACTTCGCC